TAAATATTAATTCACTTGAAAATTATAATAAAACTAATTGAAATAATTAAAATATTGATATCATGTAGAAGTTATTGGTAATTAATGAACAATAATGGTTAAATGTTTCAAAAGCAAATAGTAATCGAATTAGTTATTTAAAATAGATACATATAAAAAATACATATAATACGATTTTTATTTTTTAGAAAGATTCATTATTTAAAATTGCTGTACAATTTATTTGAAAATGATTTTATTCGACATAGTCATTAATATTATACATAGAAATTACGTTCATCGTTATTTCCTGGCACATGTCAAATTTCTAAGAAACCTTTTTCGTGTCTCGCGTGGAGTTAGTGAGAACACAGAGGCTATCCACGTGAAGTCCCATAACGAGGTTACGCCATTCATCGACAGCGCACGAAAGTCTATGAAGGGAAATGCAGAAGGGGAGTCGAGTCACTACAAGGTACTCCCGCAGTATCTCATTGATGAAGTCTTTACCGGACGTATTCTACTCCTCTGACAGAGAATTCAAGTGGAATTCATATAACCATTTTAAATAACTTTCGAATAATAGACTTTTAGATTTTCCGGATTGATACAATGACAATAAGATGATAGCGTATTCAAATGATCCTAGTCTTAAAAATTTTCTTTGCATATGATACTGCATAGACACTATATAATATTACATATATTATTATCAAGCATTTTATTCTATCTTGTGTTCTATTTCATTTCTTTTTTTCCAATCATTCCAATTATTCGATTTTTATGAAAAAATATTAGATCTAATTAGAATTAGAAAAGAGTTATGCATATATAATTATATATTGCTAATTTGCTTGTGAATTAATATCTATTAAATAAATTTTATATTTTCTTTTATTAATAATTAATCTTTCACATAAAAAAATATATTGTCTTTATTAAGTTAATAAATAAGTTTAAGAGTTAAACAGTTAAAAGAAAATAGTAATTTTTGAGATAGTTTAGGGAAAGTGTTTTCAATTATTAGGAAATGTACGAAGGAAATGTTTCTACGCCAATGATATGCACGCACGATACTAGTGTATAGTTAAATATGTATGTACGCATGCACCGAATCTCTCTTTTTCTCTTTCCGTTTCTTACGCCGTAACGCCGTACTTGCTTATATATGGATTGTGTGCAGGGCTGTACATAATTAGGGATCGTTTGTTTAAAAATTAATAAACATCTTCACGATAATTTATGATATCTCTTGATATATAAAATGAAAATGTAAAATTATAAGTTCGAGATCATTTTTTTGGACAAATAAAAATAAAAATCTTTAATTTTAATCTTTGAATTTTATTATGAAGATTATAGATTACTATTTATTTAAAAGTGCATAAATTTACAAATAATAAAAATATATAATTTACATAATAAAAGAATATAATTTGTTAGATTTAATATTTATTAGCTAAAATAAATCTTTTTTTTTTAGATTTAAATTTTGAATGAATTATTAAATAAAATTAATGATAAAATTAAATAAAAATTGATGATAATCAAATATAGTTGTACAATGACATATTTATAATATAAAAATGAGATTATACATTGAAGATAATTTTTTTTATATTAGATAAAATAAAAGTTTTTAATCTATTCGAAATTATATATAGTGGTTATAACTATAATGTTATCATTTCTTGTATAATACTAGTATATATATAATTACTCATATAAATACACAGAACCTTTGAATATATATATATATATTCGTTTCTGCATGGTGGTATTTCTGCATGTAATAAATATATATGTACATGCAAATGTGTGTAACGCATGAATCTTCTACAAACGCTTACGCACGGCATACGAAAGACTGTTACGCCAGATGTCTACTACGAGGCGTAGATTTTAATATATGATCATAACACTTGACAAAAAACAAGTGCTTTGCTTACAGATTTTCAAAAAATCGAAATATGCCAAAATTTGACGATAGTTTTTTAAACATTTTATAATGCATAGGACTTGAAAGATGACAAGTTATATATCTTATTTAAAATTTTATTCTATTTACTTATAGTATATTTCATTTATTTAATATTATTTTATTCTTTATAATAATTATTACTATCTAATTTTTTGATCAATGTGAAAGACTTTAATTAATTTTTTAATTAATTATAAATAGAAATAAACAAAATTTTAATTATAAGATTAATGCATCATGAATAATTAATGAATAATTAATTTTTTTTTCATTTAATATTTTTTTTATATATTTCATATCATTTATAAGTTATCATAAATATACAATTTTTTCTTTTTTATTTGTGTATAAATTATATAATTTTTTGTTTATATAATTATTATATTTGAATTTGATTTGAGTTATTTAACATTTATAACATCCCTTATGAGTAAGAAAATATAGATGAGCAGATAATAATAGACGTTGATGCAATAAAAGTGATACGAACAATGTATCTCGGTACTGTTCATTCTGATTCGTGTGTTGTATTATTTGAAGGCTTTGAACGATGAATAATGATGTTGACTTAGAAGTTGCTACGTCTAGGCAAGCAGATGATCATCTCTCACAAGCGGTTTGAGTATCTTGAGCAAATATTTGTAGTTTACGAATGGTTTGCAAATGTAGCTGAGAGAATATAATTATCGCGTTTGTGATCGTTTTAATAGGAACAGAATAAATAGATAGCGTTGACATATAAATCCTGTATTAAAAAGTTATTTTGTTATGATTAGAGAAAGATATTTAAATATCTATGTTTTTAAGAAATTCTAATGCGCATTTTTTTCATAGATATTATAAATATTTATATATATTTTAATATTTTTTATCTTAAAATTTTTAATTCTTAATTAGTATCATTAGATCATAAATGATCACAATAATTTAGATTAAATTTTCATTCTTACAATTTTCATCAAACAAACATAAAATAAAATTAAATAACTTAAACTTATGATTATTAATAATTTAACAATATCAATGCGTTAAATATATTAAATATGTGACAAATAATATAAAATATAAATAATATGAATTATATATTACAAAAAATATTCTATATGTAATAATCTAAAATATAAATAATTTTATATTATAATAACTATTTTTTACATACTTTCTGTATTTTGTATTTTTTTATAAAATATTTTTTTGTTTTTTACATATATTAAATATGTATATTTTAAACTCTATCAAATTATCGATCATTACTTAATATCGATGAATTAATATGCGCTGATCGTTAAAGAATAGATCAAAATTACCAAGAGCATCAGAATAGAATTCTTTATGCCTTTATTCAGAGAAGTTTCAAATAGAATATAATTTTCTACAGAAAAAACAGTAATAATTTTTTTTAATTATTATATGGATATATATTAATACATTAATAATTAACAATAATTAATAATTTATATTTTTAAATATTTTTAAATATATAATTATTTTGATATATTTGATTTTTTTTTTAAATATTTAATCATTTTTAATTTCATTAGATAAATATTTTTATTAAAATTTTAGATTGAAAATATAAAACAGGAGAAAAATCTCATATTTTATTTGCTATCCAAAGTATTTGCAATACTATGATATATAATTTATGATTTAAATAGTGATTATTATAATAAAACATTAAAATAATAATAGAAAGTAAAACGAAATTTTATCGATTAATATTAAATTCAAAAACATAATATTCTTTAAAGTAAAAGATAGAGGAACAGATGTATGGAGGAATTCCTTGAAACCAAGAAAGCGGTAGGAACGTGAATCCACGGGTCCGCGGGGAGTGTGACGACGGTCCTGAGGCTACAGTCCGTCGGCGGTATAGTGCTCACTAGTGTGCGTAGGTGTGTGCTCCGGGTTAGAGGCTTTTACACGTACGAGCTGACAAGCGTCTGTGAGCGATCGTTTTATACAGAAAACTCGGTAATGTGTGAGTAAGGCAGTGAGAGTCCGTAAAGTAGCGCGTTCCGGGTGTGAGTGAAGTAGCGGCTGTCAGTGAGTGCGCGCGCGTCGTCTCGGCTGGTTCGAACGGTTCAGTGGTGTGTATGCAGCTATGCGCGTGTGTATGTCTATACGCGGTCGACAAGATATGAAGTAAAGGCGGTGGTGGAGGAGGACGAGGAGAAGAAGGTAGTAGTAGCGGTGGCGGTAGAGGTGGCGGTAGTGGTGGTAATAGTAGTAGTATAGTGATTGAATGTGTGCGTGATGCCTGCTCGGTTATATGGCTCGACAAGTCGCAGGCAGTTCAGTTGAGCAACTGAGTCTGAGTCCATACGTGTGCATGTGACGAGAAAGAGCGAGGCGGAAAGAAAGAGAGAGGGATCGCGTGTGTAATTCGAGTGAAAAAGAAGAAAAAATGTATATTCGACAGAAAAGATGTCAATAATTTGGTGGTATAGTGGTTCGCGTTTTTTCGACTATGGTAAATAAGAATATCATGGAACATGCACCGATGACGACGTCATGACTGTGTCGTGGTATTGTAGTCGCCATCTCTCCCGGTTGGTCGGTCGGTCTACTGTGACGGATTTTCGTGATGTGAGTGCACGCGCATTTGGTCGAAAGAGCCGACGAAAATTACAGCAGTGGCAAGGGCAGTAGAAGCCCGGATTGTTGTGGCGCGGTGCCGATGGTTCCCGGGAATTCGTGTCGACTCTTACGTTCATCGTCAATACTCACGGCATAGGTGACACGGTGGAGTGGCGGTCTACGAGACCACGACGACAACACACCACAGCGACGATGGCATTCACAGCTCTAGTGTACATATGTGTGTTGCTACGCGTGCGCGTGTGAAGTCGCTCCGCGAGAATGTTCTTTTGTGTGCGTACTATTCGTTTGCTCGCTCGCTCGCGCCCGTTCGTGAGCTTTCTTGTGGGAACATAGTTGCGTATGGAACATGTGTGCGTGCCAGTATATGTGTATGCACGTGCGCGAACTTCTTGTATTGTGTGTCAGTGACTCTCCATGTTCACGGTGCAAGTAAGTGAGGTAGTTTCATCGCTGTCACGAGTATCCACTACCTGCCCTAGGAGTCTTACTATACGATGCCTATATCGTCTCTCGTCTATTTATACGACGACCATACACGTACTTACCTCTCCTCCCTCATCTTTCCTCACAGTCACTCTTTTAATCCTCTTTCTCTTTCTCTTTAACTCTCTTTCTCCTTTCTTATTTTTCCCTTTCTCACTTACTCTTTCTTCCTTTCTTTTACTCCTAAAGTTTCTCTATCTCTCTTCTACATTCACTGTGCTGCCCCACCAGTTTCCCCTTTCGTATCGGCTCCCTTTCTCCCGCCTCTCTCCCCACGTCTTTCTCTTCTTCTGCCTCTTCCCTCACCTCGTGACGACATCCGCGAACGAGCAAGCGACTCGGCTCGAATCGCCTCGAGTCGAGCCGAGAGAGCCGCGCGCCGAAGTCCACCGTACACCCTCGTATCCGTACTTACGTACACGCGGAATGTGCTGCCAGGAATTCTCTCTCACAATGGATTTATTGTGTTAGTGAGTAACAGCAGCGTGTGCGCGATAGTATATCGTGAGTGAGAGACGACTAGAAGACGCTGACCAGAACGACAACGACGACGATTACGACTACGACGACGACGATAACGACGACGACGACGACCAGGAGGACGACGAACAGAAAGAACGTGCGCGTCCGGCTTAACTCACGAGTCAAGATGGAGCTAGTAGACGCGGTACGTGAATTTCGCGAATTCGGTGTGATTTTTAGTAAGAATTGTGCGCCTAATGTACGCCATGTAAAACCTAATATCGCGATTTTTCCTCGCATTTGTTGTGTATTAATTGTGCTTCATTCTTTCCTTAGGATTTTCTCTGTTATTTTCGTATCTCTAGTTAACACGACATTTATACTTACATATATAATAACAAATTTTCGTGTCGTTTATTTTTGCCGAGTCTTGATTCGTACTCTAAACTCTGTTCTTCCTAACCTTTTGTGGTCCGTTACGCGTACATGGTTTTCGATGAATTTCAGTCGATTTGTATATATACGTGCATATTAACGTTCTTTCACTTTACCGTGTTCACTGGGATTTTTCTCAAAGTGTTTGTGTTATTGTTGAATGCGTTTCCAGAATTTAGACGCTAATACTTGTACGTAATATATCGGCTTTGCGCGGTACGATTGATCATGCTGCGGCGGAACTGAATGGAAAGTAACTCTTTGGGTGACTTAGGATAATAATTGAGCAAGATGGTTCTGTGCGTACAAAAGTGCTATAAACGCAACCAGCGATCAAGGATTATCAATTCTATGTAATTCTTAATGGTGCTAAGCCTTAGTAAGTGTTGTGTATTTTATCTGCTTCTAATTTATTTATAATTATAACAAGATTTATCGTACGTGCACATGCTACGTATTTTTCGAGTTGAAATGTTATATAAATTCGCCATAGAGGTTCACTGTAATAGGTAGAATTTTGTACAGTGCATCTTTTCTGTGAAAACTATATCAAAGTTTACACTTTGAACAAATCTCTTGTTTATCAACTTTCATATTAATTTTTTCCTTTAATATTCGTTAAAAATAATTTTTATCGATACTCTATTTATAACTGAAGCGAACCATTGCCATGAAATAGTTTATTGAAAAAGTGCATTGATTTAATATTTGTGCATTTTTTTTCTTTTTTCTTCTTTTTTTTAGATCAATTTTATCTTCATATATTTCTCAATACTATATAACTTATCAGTTTAGTTTATTTATTTGTTAATTTTTCAATTAACGAGCGTTTATTATTTATCGTTATTACAATAAATTCCTCAAAGATCGTGTTGATAAACATTTTTAGTGAATATCATGTCGAAGTTGCATTTTCAATTTAATTTACCGTAATTTTGCACAAGAAATAGATAGTTGAAAAAAATCTCTGTTTTATTTTTCAATGCTATAATTGTTCGTGTTCCGTTTAAATATCACCGTTACTCTATTCAAATATGCATTTATATCTTGAATAGAATTGTAGGAATTAGTCGTTAATTAGATACTTCGAATATTGTTAGTGTTAGAGAATATGGTTAATAACAATACTAACCATATTTTTAACCATGTTCACAATTATATCGATATTTGTAAATCCTTTCTATATAAGTATTAATGATAAATTCTTTGAAAATATGATTATTATCCTTTTGAAACAAATTTTGTTTAACAATAAACGTTATAATATGATAGTACAAATTATAACTTAAATATGAAAATAATAATTATATATATTATATTTCAATAATTTATAAATTATAAGTAATTATAACAATTTAATAGTTTTCGTGAAAATTACTTTGAAATGCAATATTCATTCTACTAATAATATTGAAAACTATGATTCTTAACGTTTTTGAATTTATGCTTTACAAGCGTTATGATTTTTAAGCTATTCAAAATTGATTTTTTAATATTGAATTCATAATTAAATAATAAAAAAATTTAATGCAAATGAACAAAAAAAAATAAAATTTTAAAATAAAATAAAAATTTACTTATTTATTAAAAACTACATCAAGTATTTAGATATTTTATATTATTTTCTTATATTATGTGTTTTGAGGTTAAAATATATCTTTATTTTTGCTTTTAATTTTTTATATTTCAAACATACAAATATATATTTATCAATAATTGTAAACATGTTACTATCAACTTTCTAATTAAGAAAATTAAAAGTAGAGTTAAAAAATATAAAATGTAAATTCTTTTAATATAGATATTTTTAATTTTCGTTCATATATGCATTATTTATGAAAATTCACAATGAAATTAACATTTGAAAATCTATAATATCAGATTAGATTTATAATTTTTATTGACTTATGACAATATAAAATTGATTTTGATTAGATTTTAATACAATTATCTTTTTTTATATCTATATACGCATGTATATACACAGATATATGCCATGAATGAAATATATTTATTCGAATATACTAGAAAATAGAAATTAAATTGTTTATTTTATATATTTTTATCATATATTTTTATAAATATTAAAATAAGAATTATTGAAAAATAATTTTTTTGTTCATTAAATAATTGTAAAAGATCTTAATACTATTATAATATATTATAATTAAATACTAGAATATTTTATTCATCTTTCTTATATGCAGAATGAGAAATTTATTTTTAGGATATAAATAAATAGGTGATTATAGATAATTACAAATTATAAATTCTAAAATGTATATTCACATGTCTATAATCATAATATAATCGTATGGTATAATTATTAAAAATTATCTTTAATATAATAATATTGGTAGAGATATACTTTAATCGCGGTTAACATCAAAGTTTAGTGAAATTTTGCTGCTGAATTTTAAAAAAGTAACATATTACCACAAAAAAAAAATTACAAAATAAATGTAATTTAATAATTTTATATAAACGGAAAATAAGATTTCAAATTCGAAAATTTTATGTTTTGCATGTATAATATATTAAATATATATATATATTTAATATATTTATATATATTATATTTAATATATTTATATATATATTTATATATCTCAAAGTATAGAACTTTCTTTTTGGGTATTTATTTATTTATTAAATGATCATTGAAATATTTTAATATGTTATTTTGATTTCATTATATTTATTATTGATCGATATTAATATATTAATAATATATAAAGACGAATTGGAAACGAGTTTGAAATTTTAAAGCTAATTTGAATCATGAGAAATAAGAAAATTTTCCATAGATTATATTTATTGAATTAAATATACGAAGCGATTCAATAAAAATCAAAATCAATATGTCCATTTACTTCACACTTTCACCTTCACCAATTGTCATTGTGTTTGATTATAATAAATATTAACAAATAAATATGAGCAAGTATTAAAAAGAATTCGCAATGAAAAGATCTGCTAGAAATCCGTATGATTCTTTGGGGTTAAAATAGATTTACAATATAATATCGATTTTATTTCATAATACATAAGAATCTTTTGTTTTAAGTACGAACAAAACAACCATCGACATCGTTTTATATATATATAATAAAAACAACCCGCTTCTCGATGTTCGTTGATAATGACAAAAAAAAAAAAAAATCGGTATCTTCGTTGTACGGGTTATAATAAGACTTTGCTGCTATGTTAATGATTTTTGAAGTTGACTGTCAATATATTTCTTATGTTATCTTTTCATTTTTTGTTCTTACAGCATCTAGAACATCTGCTATTCGTGTTTTGACAGATTGTTTACATCGTCTAGCTATCATACTCGTTCAGCTATAGTTAAAATGTAAAATTTTGCGATTTTTATGCAAATTATATCATTCTCAAGGGGAGAACGATACGGTTCATGAAGGTTCACGGTATATGAAGAGAATTCTTATCAGTTTCAAAGTTATCAGCCGCTGATAAATGAACGAAATATCTGTTATTCCTTCCGGACAGTAAATCCTAAATATCTGTAATCAATTATTCAATTAGTCGGAATAATTATCATAGTACTTACGTAACAGGCGAGATTAATAATTAATAAGATCAAAGATCGTTATAACTTGCGTTTTAGCATTGCATTTGCAAACAAGAAATTATTTATAAGTGTCTAGACCGAATGCAAAAATGTTTGGTATTCATAAAATTAATCGAAGAAGTAAAAATTTCATAATATAAAATTTCATAAAGCGTAAATAAAATAAGCATAAAGTGAAATTCTTTCGTTTTGTTGTAATTATTCGTATAATTAACAAATTATTCGAATTTAATTACGGTATAGTTATATTTGTCGAATTTGTGTTTTAAATATATTAATATATTTAAATTAAAGTTACTTTAATAACTTGATATCTGATTTTTCAATATATATTTCATTTCAATAAAAAAGATGCAATTCATATTTCTTTTATATTGGAGCAATTATTATTCTCATAATACTGAAACAATAACAATTTTAATATAAATTTATAATACTAATGCTAATGTATTGTTATTAGATTGTTTATTTTGAAATTCATGAGAATCATTTTTAACCATTGTTTTGAAAAATATTATCTGTTGTTATGCAACATAAAATGAATTATAATAAATTTTAAAAGTTTTAAAAAATATTTTATTAATATTTAACTTAATATTTTATTAATAAACAAATTTTTAACAAATTAAAAAATAGCTAATAAAAATTCGAAAATCAAATAATAATTATTTTATTGTTAATACAAAATCTGGATATTAAACCACAGAAAGTATTGTAAGTTACAGTTTATACTTACAACCTATTTACAAAGATTGAAATATATACATGATTTTATAAGATAAATACAGATAAAGGTGAATTTTCAATTATAGTTGTAAATTTCACTGTTTTAACTTCCATTTAAAAAAAATAATATTATGAACTTTTTTCATTCTAATCAATGATCAAAACCAGCAATCAAGTTTTCAATTCAAATAAGCATTCTAAAATACATAGATATATTTTAAAATGAATTGAATACTTTTCTTCCATAGATCTTCCATTTCCGAGGTTACTCATTGATATATTAAAATATCGCGGTAGTACGTGCTACGATACAGCAACAATGAACGCGATGGCATACAAAAAGCTTTTAACATATTGTATTAATAGCGTCGTTATCGCGTGTAATACATACACTTCTAAAGTTGCCCACTTGCTATGCGCGCATTTATTTTCCTCCGCTCTTTATTCAGGTCTATACGTTAGTTAATTCGATGCGGTAGCATATGTGCGCGTGCGCGCGCGCTTTCGCTTGCGATTGCTAGGATTTCTTAGCTGGGTACCCCGTCGATGAAACCGCGTGATACCTTATCGCTGCGTTTCTTGCGCCGAGCGTCGTGTTAATGACTTTTCTTCTCGCGCAGTGTCGTTGCATATTTTCAAGCAATATCGATAAGCAACCCCCAACTTATGTCACATTCCTTTTATCGCGACCTGTCGCGTCGTTTTCCTTTGGTCGCGGCTCAATGCTGACCCTGTTGCCTTTGTAGTTTAACTCCGCGACCTCTGGCGACATCGTAATAAATATTGAACTCCACCATACTTCAGTCGAGAGAACCTGCTTAAACAATTGTACTCGCACGCGTTTTTATTTGAGCATATATATTTATTTAAGTACATATATACATATATGTACCATGTACCGTCTTATTACTTGTGCCGCATTCGATGCGCCACCATAGTTGCATTTCTGATTCCGCTTTGAGTCTTCGAATATATTCGTGCGCATGAGTTAGGTTATGTTTGAATAGTTGGAAAGAACATACTGGATCTTCTTTGTATCAAGTAGTATAATATGTTTAAAT